TTTGTTGAGTCTCCTTCCCTGTTTCTTAGTATATTGTACTGCAGTGTGAAGTGTGAGGATCCAAAATCAGACTGAACAGAAAGGTACACTACCCTTTGATAAAATGTCAAAGGCTCTCATCTACTGAGAAAGGCTCTCATCAAATGGAAAAAGGTCTATGACGTCTGGGGATTTCCTGTCAGTGGGGCTCAACCCAGGGGTCATAGAGAATAATGAGTCCATCTACAGCACTTGTACAAGAAAATCAGAGATGTGTTTGCAGGTTTGCATACATGCACATTTTTTCCAAAATATTTATCAGAGATTGCATTAAAAGGAAATTAATTTGAAAAGTTTGGCTTTCATTTGCTGTAAATTATGAAAAGACAGAAAAAAGCACAGAAAATATTGTGCGACTGGTCTTTAACATCTTTTAAAAGTAGAGAATATAGACAATTATTTGCATGTGACTGTTTTATTTGCTCAGAGGCTTTCAAAGTTTGACTAAATAGATCTTTAACAAAGAAAAAAGGTTAAAAATCCAGGGTGCGTATCTCATATAGTTAAAGCAAATCGGTCACATGCATATACATAAGGTGATGATATATATATATATATATATATATATATATATATATATATTTCCTTCTAACAGGTATCAATGACAGGCTTTGTATTGCTATCAGCACACAACTCATTTAATTCCATTGTTGATTTCATTGATACATTTAGTAACATAAACATATTTTTGATTGCTTTGCAGTATGTACTCTTACCTTGTTCATAAACCATGGCCCTGATTTAAAAAATTTGTGAAAATTATTCCACAACAAAAATAAAATTATTTTTTGAATTGTTTGATATCTCAAATTATATTCCAAGTAGATGAAGACAATTTACAAATATTGCATAAAGCTATTTTTACTATTTCCGTATATAACATAATAATGCATCATAGCTAAAAAAAAAAATGAGCACAATTCAATTCAGACTATAAAAAAAGGTTGCACACTATGATATCTGTCATATAATATATTCTAGTAATGTAGTACTGAAAATATTATGTAAACTACAATAAAACACTTTCAGTGTAATAATAAAAAAGTATATATATATATATATATATATATATATATATATATATATACAATTTATAACTTATGACTTCCCCTGTAGTCTGAATCACATTTTTATACATTTGTTTTCAAGGTGTAGGTCAACAAAATTAATGAAAATCAAATCAAGCTTTTTTATATTATTTAACTTTTAGAAAATCAGAATTCTAAGAAATATAAACAAACTTTTTAAAAATTGCTGCTATATAAGACATTTAATGCATTTTAACATAGAAATGCATGATTACAAGAATGCAAATTAATATACATGGTCATCTGAAGTTTTCACAAAGGATGAATGAAGACCAAAGTTTTTTTTACAGAAACTGATTAATTTAAAAATATTAAATTTTGTATAATTAGCACATACACATGCACATGTGACATGTGTGTGTAGCACACTATACTATGTGCTTGTCTTTTGTGTTTCGCCTTCATATACATACACTCATTTACATGATTTCCTTTGGTTTATTATTATCTTCCAAATAAAATACATTTTAGGCTTTGAAATTGATACCATACATGGCATAATACATCTGAGTACATATGAAGGAACTTCCTGTAATAAATACAATACCTTGCATAAATGCTCTCAGATAATAATATTTAATATTTGCAGATTGTATGCAAATACTGAACATTAAACAGTTTTTAATAATAATTCAGTACAAAATGAAAAAAAATATATTTGTGCTTTAATATCTTCATATTTTTCTGGCACAATCTTAGAAAATCAATATTTCTTACATCTTCGGATATTTTATTGCACATTTGGCAGTTGTTGCGGGCATAGTTAGGCGTTAAAAAAAAAAAAACTTATTCCACTGAAGAAAATAACTTATCAAATATTACTTTTAAAATAAACAATATATTTCATCCAATTTGTTTTTAAATAAATATAGATATAATACTATACAAGTTATTTTAGAGTTACAAAAGACTCATTATATAACAGAGAGAAGAAAGTAGAGAGAGAGAGGAGGGAGCTGATTAATCAAAGACATCATTTGCATCCTACGGAAAGAAAAAGAGACCTAATTTACTAAAGAAGTACTTTTCACCCCCATGTTTACCCAAGATCACCAGTAACATTTAAGAGAATTAAAAAAAAAATCAGGAATTCCTGTGAACATAAGTATTGAAAGTGAATACAAGACAGTGTAAAAATTGCTTCTTTAGTAAATCAGCACATAGGTGTTAATTTACTAAAGGAGTAGAGAATTTTCCCTTTCAAAGTGAATTTTTACTTATCTTGGCCAACAAGGTGAAACAAAGTAAAAAATCACTTTGCAAAGAATACCCAATCATGAGCAAAGAAAAGTAAAAAAACAGGATTTTTTCTCACACATGGCATAATTGAAGTCAACTCGACTTCACCTCATTCACTAAACAAAGAAGATTTTCCCTGCAAAGTGAATCTTCACATAGCTCAGTGAATGAGGAAAAGTTGTGCTTCCCTTAACTATCTAATCATGTTTGAGGAAAAAACTTTTTTTAATTTTCTGTACATATTACATGCAGTCCCCGAGTTACAAACAAGGTCCTGAAGGTTTGTTCTTACGGTGAATTTGTATGTATAAAAGCTCTATAGGGGGCGCTAAAAACACATCCCTAAAAATGAAAGTGATATTGCTAAAGTGCCATGTGCATAAGAAATCATATGCAATACATATTACCAATGAAACAAAATCATACATCAATATGTCAAATCTCTAAGTGTAAAAAAATACACATCAAATTCATATAGTGAAGTCCATGGGTCGTGACCTCAAATGCAAAAAGACTCAAAACCACAAAAGTGCTTGGTGCTGTATCTCCTGCACCATAAAGTGTCCACACATTCCACCCGGAGGTCTTGAGTAGTGACCCATGGACTTCACTATATGAATTTGATGTTTATTTTTTTACACTTAGAGATTTGATATATTGATGTATGATTTTTTTCACTGGTACAATGCATTGCATATAGTTTATGATGCACATAGCACTTTAGCAATATCACTTTCATTTTTAGGGATGTGTTTTTAGCGCCCCCTATAGAGCTTTTAAACTTATTTGGTGGTTATCGATCGCTTCAGGGAGGCAGCTTAGTCACTATATTTATATTTGACACTATAACACATAGGGCCAGGGATTTTTTATACATTGAATTTGTATGCAAGTTGGAAGAGGTACATTTTTTAATTTTAACTCCAACGAAAAAAAGTATTTTTAAGTTTTGGATAGCATAGAGATGGGTTAACTTACCAGGCAGTGATGTGGGATTGCTGACCGGTCTGCCAGACAGTAGGTAGCAACATGCGATGAACAGCAAGATGGCCTCCTGGAGGTTTCCAGAGCCAGCGTGACGTCATGCTGCCTCCATTCTTAAGTATGAATCATATGAAAGTTGGATGTTTGTAACTTGAGGATTGCCTGTATTAGGTATTATTTTCTAGAGTGAATTTTTGCTTTGTTTTGCTTCATTTGCTAAGCTAAGTGGAAATTGACTTTAAAAGTGAAAATGTTCTACTGCTTTAGTAAATCAGGATCATAGTGTCATATTATTAGTGGCCCAGGGCCAACAAGGATAAGGAGAACCTTAGGAAACGTTTAACAATTTTAAGCATCTTTGTCAGTCTATCCTTTTAATGATTATTATTATTCACTGTTCATAAGTCCGTAGTAATTACCAAAAATATTAAACTTCTTTGGAATTACTTTTTTTTTCCACATAGATTCCTAACTACTACATGATAAATATGACAGGTTAGGGACAATGGTTTTGCTCTGTTACTTGACATTCACTGGAGGATCCACAACATATGTCTCAGTTTTTGTGCCTCTATATTTGTGTAGGCTTCATTCACTGATAACTGAACAAAGATGCAGTAAGAGGTACATTGTAAGCACTAATCTACTTGGGGTTTTGTGAGTGGTGAATTCAGCTACCACACACACATACAGTGAGATCTCATATATATATATATTTTATAGTCACAATATTCAGTGGCTTTGAAATGATCTATAGACATTTTTATTTTATATTTTTTTATATTTAGCATTGCTGTACAATTTGTGATACTTTGAATTCTATATTGATTTCTGTCATTTAGGATTACATCTAATTTAAGCAATAGAGTGTTTTTTGGCACCTAGAACCCAGCACTGCTAGTCCTTGGTCATTTAAATTAAAATATGTGCCTGACTTGACCTACAGCCTAGCCTTAATAGTAAACCTGACCCTATTTTTACCTGAAATGCAAAATGATCTAACCCTTATAATACTTTACCGGTCGCCTATCATTTTAACCTTATCATAACCCTTAATACCAAGCCAAGACCTAATATTAAATAAACTCTTAACCGAACAATTAAAATTTACATCTAACCTGAATCCTTACACAGAATCTCTGACTTAGCCCCACTTAACCCAAACTCTTAACCTAAAATCCCTCATCCTTGATCCTCACCTTAACCCAACCTTCCACTTAATCTCTAACACTAATTAACTCCTGCATACACCTATCTGAGCACCATAACTATTGACACGGAAAATACTTCTCTTGTGCTAAGATTTCACAGCACCAAGATCATGGTGCTAATAATCCATTACCTTGCCTATACTTTTTCTCCAAACATTAGATTTGCATTTATTTTCCAAAAAGGGTAGAAGGTTCTATAGAAAACTAGACACAGAACATGTTTGCAGATTATTGTTAATTTTCATTGTATCCATCAGGGGTAACACACTGTAAAAATATATAGATATATATTTATTTGATTCCAAACAAAGGAACAGATGACTATAAATATTTAGAACATATGGTACCAAGAGGCTGTATCCTATACAGAAATTTAGTGTTAGAAAGATATGCTGAAAATTCTGAAAAAGAAAATATAAGGTAGACATGCAATGCACTGCTAGTTCTTGCTTAATAGACTTTTTAAGCTTCTCTCCACAGCTTCATCCAGTTCTTCCTCCAGCTCCTCCTTCTTGGACATAGCCAATTTTGACTGGTAATCTCTAACTATTTGGTCTATGTAGGGGGCACTTTGAGTCCCATGCAGCATCAGGGTCCATTCTTTCAAAACACCTTTTTCTGGCATGCTTCCAACAAAACCGATCTCAAGAACCCAAGTTCCTCTTGGGTCTTCTCCCCAGGTGTGAGTTGTCATGAATGGCCACTTATCAAAACCCACTTTAGAGTCGTCGTCCCTTGGACGGCGACTCAGGAGGATGGATTTTGTTCCCATTGGTGACGTCATATTGATGTTCAAATCTCCACGTCTTGTAGAATTCACAGTTATAACTGCTTGGACATGTTCAAGGTATCGCACAAAGTTTTCCTTTCCTTCACATGCATCTGTTGTAAGTGTTAGCATCAACTTTCCATCAGAAGGTATTTTCCTGTATTGTGAAATAAACAGATTCCACATTTTAGATACACAGTATACAGATTACGAAATGCTTTTGGAACAGATGTGTCTAACCAATCAGAGGGGCATGATTTAATAGAAGAAAATGTGTGTGCTCTTTGACAATGATACTAGTGCAAACCTAGTTGAACAGTCAGAGTGCACTCACACAGCAGGGTTGATTTACTAAAGGCAAATAGGCTGTTAACTCTCCAAAAGAATTTGCATTTTGCAAGGGAAAATCCCCTTTGCTTCATGAATGTAGTAATTGTCCATTTGCAAAGAATACCCAATCATGTGTAAGGAAGATAAAAACAGTATTTTTGCTTGTACCTCATTCACTAAGTGAAAGGGAAATTACCTTGCAAAGTGAAATTTCCTTTAAAAAGTAAACAGCCTATTTGTCTTTAGTAAATCCCCAGTGTGTTCTTGAGCATTATGGTTGTTCTTCCAGAGATGTACACAATCTTAATAAGGGTCCTTTTTCACGGACATTCCATTTTTTTCATCAGTTCAGTCATGTTCAGTCAAGAAAAAAGGAATCAGTTTCTGATCAGTTTACATCCATTTGTGATCAGTTTACATCCATTTTTTACATCCTTTACCAATTAAAAAATGGACCGTATGTCCATTTACATCCATTTACATCCGTTTTTTTGTCCATTTACATCCGTTTTTCGTCCGTTCCATTTTTTTTTTTTTTACAGAAGAAAAATAGGGTTTTCTTCCGTTCAAAAAAAAAAAAAAAAAACTGATGTTAATGGATACGGACATTAATGGATCATCATCCGTTTATATCCGCTAGTCCATAGAAATACATGGGTGTGCATTTTTCATCTGTAAACAGACAGATGAAAAACAGGCATACGGAACACTTGTTTGAAAGTGCCCTAAGGGCTAACGCATCAACTAATTTGTTTTATTTATCTGGACATGCTCCAGCCTCTGAATGGCAAGCAAAAGCTGGCATACCTAAAAGAAAAATGGTATTTCTCAAATGTCATTTGGGCTTACCTATATCTGTCAGCTATTTTGCATTTATATTTCAACTGCATGATGTACAGCAGAGGTGTCAAACTGGCGGCCCTCCAACTGTTGTGAAACTACAAATCCCATCATGCCTCTGCCCTTGGGAGTCATGCTTGTAACTGTCAATCTTGCAGTGCCTCATGGGATTTGTAGTTTGGCAACAGATGAAGGGCTGCCAATTTGACACCCTTGATGTACAGCATATACTGCTATTAATGAACTTAACTGTAGTAAAAGAAAAAAAAATAAAGGCCAGTGTGCATGCTTTTTTGGGGGTAACAAAGTGTGTACGCTTTGGCCATGGCAAGATTGCATACTATTTTGCAAGCTGATACTTGTAAAAGCAGATTGGAACAATACATTTCTGTACTTATGGTGCCTTGCTTGCTCCCAGATCATGGTGTGTAGGTGTTGGAACTGCTTGTTTATTTCTGTGAACCATTCACAGATTACATGGCATTCTGTGAATAACCAAGGGTTAGCGGGGGACACTAACACTTCCATGGATGAGAGCCTCAGCTCTCATATCCACAACAGGCCAGAAGTACAGTGGGAGCTGCAATCCTGGCCGTAGCATACACCTCGGCCGACGTAATGTTTTTACACAGTAGAAATGACTAAAAGCCGTTTGTCTGGAGATTTGCTTTAAACTATTTCACTTCTGTCTGGTTTTAACTGGAAGTCATTTAACATTAGAAGTTTTTGCTTGACATAACACAGTATATATGTTCCATTTTATTATTTCAGCAGAGGGTAATTATAAAAGAATGGACATTTGACACATAATTACAAGCTACATATTGTATTAGTTTTATCATAATTTCTCATTCTCTCAGTGCATTTTTCGCTCGTTCTAATCCTGGCAATGGCATAATAAAGTGTTTTAAATATTAATAGAGCTGCCTCGCAACAATTGCCGCAGACGACAAATGCTACCCAGCTTCTTTGCACTAATTGACAGGGTTGCTAAGGTGCACCGTGGAGGATATTCAAGAGGCTATATATAGACTGTGCTCTGCAAGTCTATGAGGAGGAAGAAAAAACAATTATCCATAGTATGACTGAATCAAATCTTAATGGAAGTTGCAATGCAATCCCTTGGAGACTGCTGGTTTGTTTTACTTTGACTGAAAATAATGCGGGTAAAAGCTTAAATATCAAAAGCTAAAAACATCACTATGGTTTCAACATTTTGATCATGAACTACTTTTGTGACATCTCCATCTGACAATTAGAAGAAAAAAAAAGTAGATGTTTGTTTTTGAGAATAGACATTTGATTTGAGAAGTGTTTAATTATTTATCCTAGCTATATTATTGTGCATATTTAAAGTTGAAATTTACATATGGGTTTATTATTACGTAAATTATTTAATGTAGGAAGGGAGAAAGGGAAGAAGGAAAGATATTTCCAAAGTCTACATTTATAAACATAGGAAATGATAAGAAAATGCAAGAGCTTAAAACAATTCTTTTCTTTGCTAATGTTTTCATAAACTGCTGTCTACTATATAACTTGTTGACAATTCCCTGGTGCATAGTCAGTGAACAAATCTCTGCCCTAGGATTTCTACAAATATCCAATTATTTAACCTTTGGGTGCTGCCATTTTGCCTCTCTCACAACATAGAGAAAGTTAAGCCAAACTGTCAATCACAGGCAGTAAATTAAAGTCACCTCTGTCCTACTTGTGACAATCATTGATCTCTGCATATGTCAGCAGCCAGGGGAAGTGGCAAATACAGTAGATGCTTAGATATTGACTACAGAAAAATTCCAAAAAAAAAAGCAGTAGTGTGATTCAGTCTGCCCAGACTGCCCATTTTGTTGAAGGGTTGAAAGTACATTTGCTCATTGGGCAGATTATGAACAGGTTTACCAGATGGGGAATGGTAAGGTTTACTTTAAAGCCCGTTCCCCAGGCAGAAAAAAATTAGTGGAAAAAATGTGGAAACTTCTTGGATTTACACAAAAAAGAAAAATCATTGCTCATGGGACTTTAAATGAGGCAGGTCACATGCAAAACATAACAAGATTGATATGCATAATGGTACATTTTATTATTCAATAATTAGCCACAATATGATCATTTTCATATACATGATTATAGATTGCATATAGTAATACATAGTTTTAGACACATGATTACAGGTTGCACACAATAATAGACACAATAAAAATCCAACTTAAAAAAAGGGGGATACCACACAGACATTGTATCAATATAAATACATAGCTGATCATATTTTTTTAATGATTTTATAACATAAATTACATAGCATCCTAGAGCTCAAGATACATTTGGTATATCATGAATCAGTTCAGTATTCACCTTTTTTAAGTTTGATTTTTATTGTGTCTATTTATTATTAAATGCAATCTGTAATCATGTTTTTAAAACTATATATTACTAATTGCAATCTATAATCATGTATATGAAAATGACCATATTGTGGCTAATTATTGAATAATAAAATGTACCATTATGCTTATCAATCTTATCATGTTTTACAAGTGACCTACCTTAAAGTCCCATGACCAAAGATTTTTCTCTTTGTGTGTGTGTGTGTATATATATATATATATATATATATATATATATATATATATATATATATATATATGGAGGTATGTCACCTATGGTGCTGCAGACCATAATCTTCATATTTAGACATGTTTAGATAACTTCTTGGATTTAAGTTTTGTCTGTGACCCAGTTGGGGAAGTTTCCCTTGCTTCCTGTCTTTTTAACATCAGGAAAACAATTTAAGAGAACATGTGCCAAATTGATAAAAACCTTTCCCAAATTTCCTAAAACTAAAAAAAAATAATTTTGACTACAGCTGAAATTTAAATGTGTTATTAAAATATCTTAATTGCAATAGATCACCAACTTTATATTGTACTCATTTTCATTCTGAATTCCCAGTTTTTAAACAACATACCTTGGCTCCTGTACTGATCCACCAATGCAGTGAAATCTTTCTGGAACAGTTTTCCATTCTCGTGCCATTTTAACCATAGATCCGGCATCCAATACACCATAGCCAAACAAGTGGTTAAACTCCAAACCAACACCATTCCTACGCCACTTATGAACTTCATCGTGCAGCTGGTTTCTTTTGGATGTTAGCACTGTTAAGTGTTGCAAATCCCTCCACGTGAGACCTGGACTATTGCAAGACAAAATGAAATTACAATACTGAAACTTTGTATAAAAACTATATTTTCTTTAATGTATAAATAGCAATATGTAAATGTAAAGCTTTATTTTAAAATAATTTTTAGCACAGAAAATCTGACCCTGAACAACTAGATGAAAGCAAATGAACAGAAGAATACAGAAATACCAATGTTTCCAGAGTTTCAGAATCCTGGTCTCCACTGAGTGCTGTGGTTCCTCCTGAAAACCTCTACATCTCTATATGATATAGGGACCAGAGAAACAAACCACTGAGTATAGTAGGGACCAGGGATTCAACCCTACTGGAAGTGTCAGGTCCTGAAGAGTCTTCAAGCAGTGGTTTCACATTACAGCAAGAATTGGTATTGTGGGATGCAGAAGAAGTGAGTATTAACTATAATCATGTGCAAAGAAACTAGACAGCGCTATTTGGTATTATCACTATCATTCAGTACATAATGTCAGGTGCATGTGCATTTTCAAATCACTTGTTCTCCACAAAAAAGCGCTATCACTCTACCACTATCTATCCTACTTCACCATGTCAAGTGTTTATGCATTATATAAAAAACTTAAAGTGCCAGGTGCATTTGCTTTTTCTATGCAAAAAAAGTATTATAACATATAAATAAAGTGCATGTACATATATAACCCAGTTCTAAAAAAATCAAATTTGTGCATATATAACATAAAGTGACAATTGCTGGGATATATAACCAAAATTAAAGTGCATATATAATTCAATATATATATATACCAACTGTGCATGTATGACATATTTATCAAGTGACAATTGCAATATTATATAACCAAAATTCACAAATAAATTGTTACATATACATGTGCAAAGTCCACAATTTCTAAGGCTTCCTTTCTTGTGTGCACCACCACCATATATTTCATAAATGCCTTGGGAATCAAGTGATATTAGTTTTCTTCCTCTGTGTGAAGCACCTTAGGTCATCACCAGCTTGTGTGTCCACCACCAATTGTACTAGCCTCAACTCACCAGTTTCTGGTAAAATGATAAACCAGCCCACCAACCATTCCCCCCCTGGGGATTATCACTTAATGCGTCAGATCTTCGACTTATTAGGGAACACCACGAACTTCAGCCACATTAAGTGATAATCCCCAGGGGAGAACGCTTGGTGGGTTGGTTTATAATTTTACCAGCAACATCTTCTGGTGAGGCAGCTACGCAAATATGTGGCCCCACAAGAAAAAGCCCAGTTTTGTGAGGTCACATTTTTGTGTTATGTCGGCGCCAAGGGGTTATTGACAGAGTTCCTGTAAGATCAGCCTTAATGCATGATCTTCCTACTTCGGATCAGCCACAATGCATGAATGTCAGACCTCAGATCAGCCCTTATGCATGAACTTTAAACTTCACACCAGGCCTAATTTATGAATGTCACACCTCAGATCAGCCTTAATGCATGAATATCAGACTTCAGGTCAGACTCAATTACTGCACCTTCAAACCTAAGATCAGCCTAAATGCATTCATCTTCAGACCACAGATCAACTCCAATTTCTGCAGCTTCAGATCTCAGATCATCCTAAGCCATGTACCTTCAGACCTCAGAGCAGCTCTAATATATTCATTTTTAAATCTGAGATAAGCTTTAATCCCTGTAATTATTATACTAGCTCAGACTGAATAAATGTAGGAAACCAACACCTTTCTGCCTCTGTTGGACCATCACTGTGCTCCATCTGCACTGGAAACACTCTTCACATTCCTGCTCTGTGGTGCCTGCACTTTCATGGCTATCTAGCAACTTCCTGGCTAACAAAGTGATGCCCGACAGGGTGACTGGACAAACTGCAGGAGACCCAGTTCTTAGTCAAAGCCACCACTGGATGACACTGCTTTGCAATCAGAAGACAGAAAATAGGAGATTTACTAAAACTGGTTGACTCAGAATCTTGGGCACCTGTGCATGGTAGCCAATCAGCTTCTAACCTCAGCATGTTCAGTTAAGCTTCAGCAATAAAACCTGGAAGCTGATTGGTTTTTATGCAGAAGTGGACAAGATTCTGAGTCAACCAGGTTTAGTAAATAAACCCCAAAGTGTCCTTGGTGTAGAGAGGGCAGCAACTAATAAAAAATGCAGCATGTACCCAGCCTGGCATGCGTTTCAGAAGTTTCTATGTAAACTGAAAAAAAAACACCAATCCCACACTATCTGCTGGTGGTCTAGTATTATTATGATGGCATATCAAGTAACATTTTGAGTTTTCATGTTATCTCTGGCAGTGGCTAAAACAATATACGTTAAAAGTTTGCAGCCCTAAGTATGTCCTGGCATAAAGTTTATATACATGTATTAAAAAATGATCATACGGTGGTAGGATCATGTCCCTGTGATCAATAGGGATTAAGTTATCTGTGCACTTGATTGCTGCCTGCTTTTGATTTTTGTTTTTTTTTTCTTTCTGTCAAAAAATGGAGGCAATGTTTTCATGAGGGGCAAATTTTTGTGACAAGACCTGGTCCAAGATAGCTGAAAGGTGCTCTTCATGAGCCATTTAAATTCAATTGCAACCTTAAAACCACCTTTATTTCACCTTTCCCAGACATTGCCAAACTCACTGAAATAATTGGGATAAGAAAAATATCAATGATAACAACCCTCATCTCATGTATTAACCACATCAAAGGATGAAAAAAATTATGACTTTAGAAAATACTTTTGGACAAGTCATACTGTTAAAGATATTTGAACGTGCAAAGTCCCTTTAATTTTTCTGCATAGCTAAATGATATGTCTTGTTTACTGTCATCTGCCATATATGCAAAGAAAATCCCATGAACATACTTTGCCTCTAGGGCTAATGCAAACACCCCAGCTGCTTCTGGTGCTGCCGCAGATGTTCCTGAGTGACGTAAAGTGCAGTTTCCATATAGATCTGTTGTAGCCTGAAAACACAAATTGATAATTTACAGGTCATACAGTATTAAGAAAGTCATATTGCACACAAATAATTTGAAAGCACTGAAATATTTATCAAGCATCACTTTTTGTTTTAAAAGAACCACACTATTATTAATTCCTTAGGGTCTGCTTTTAAAGTGATCTGAAAGCGTATAGACAAATACTTGTCATTTACGATAATTAAAAAATAATTATCACTATATGTATATATATATATATATATATATATATATACATATATATTGCAGCAGTGCTGGACACTTTTGCTCAGTGCTATTACCAGACATGTAAGAATCAAAAAGGAGAACACTGGTACTGAACTGTACACATTAAAATCTTCATCTTTACCGTATTGTTATTGAAATGTTGCGGAAATTTTTGAAACTATCCAAAGATGAAGAAAGGTTAAACATTTGTATAAAGGCAAAAGATTTCTAGTTTTGGGTAGAGTGGGGAAGGGTAAGACCCTCGCCCACGTTTATATCACTACCTGTCTTCCAACTGGGAAGATTCACTCCTCTCTTTATTCTGGAGACCACTGTCACAGAGATAACAAAGAAGGGGAAATCCAAAATTGTCATCAGAGCAAGAGATGAGGGGATATCTTCAAATAAGTACAAATCCTTTGACAACAGTCTATGATGGGAGTTTCCTTCATTTTGGGGAGATTTCTTCTCACTTCCTGTTGCCTCTTAAGGACAGACAGTGAAGGCAAATCTCCACAGCAGTAAAAAATATTTTGGCAATACATGCGCTCAGTATGAAAGCAATTAGAGGGGAATTTGTCAAGGCTCTAGAAGGGAAGATGACCTTAGATATTAATAAGGCAATTAGAAAAAGTAATGGGTGGGACTTTAAATATACCAGTGGAATTCACAGGAGAAAATCAAGAAAGATAAAAAATCAAAAAAGTTTTATTTTAAAAAAGAGGTAAAATATATATATATATATATATATATATATATATATATATATATATATGAGAGACAGACATAAATCTTGATTATGATGTGCGTCCTATGAAGTAGGTCTACGTGTTTCAGGGGGTTCTCCCACTTCCTCAGGACCAAAACAAATTGTTCAAAGGACACAAGGTTGTACATACTACATAGGATACATTCTATGAGAAGAAAAAACATCTGTAGATGTTAATGTATATCTATTTATATATGATGGATTTTATGTACAAATCTTTGATCAATTTATTTAGGTCCTGAGGAAGAGGGAGAACCTGCAAAACGCATAGACCTTCTTCATAGGATGCACTTTACACTTGTTTCTATCTTTCTTGATTTTCTATAATTAAAGTCCTACCCATTAATTTGATCGATTGTCCTATTTACATGGGATACAACCCTGGTAGATCACATTTACATTATATTACACACCCTACCCCAGTAACTGTTTTTATGTATCTTAATAAGCTACATTTTGCACTCAGCTTGCAGCAAACTTCACAGTGCAGATTGTTCTGAACCCCATTTCTGAGGACCTCAGCTGGTCACTAGAGTTTGAGGAATATAGTCATAAGCAGGGGCGGGCTGACAACTCAATGGGCCCCCAGGCAATAGGGGATCATGGGGCCCCTGTGTCCTTGCCCAAACTCAAAAAATCCTATGAAAAAGGTACCAGGGGCATCTCATGGGGCCCCCTACCAACCCTGGGCCCTCGGGCAGTGCCCGAGTTTCCAAATGCTCAGTCCGCCCCTGGTCGTGAGTTGACTCTGCATGTACAAATTAGCCAGTGGCCTGATCTCGCCCTTTCTGGCACAACTAGTTATAGCTACTGCCTTGCTGCCAACATGTCTGCTTGCTTTAGGCTTCTATTATATAGAATGACAGAGAGATAATTGACAAATCTTTGCATATCGAACATGCCACTACTAACAGTAGCAAGTAGTGAACAGGCATCTTTGTCTTACAAAGTACACACCAACCATGTATAAACATTTTAAATCCAACATGATATAGGAGATACGACTAGCCTTACTCTATATACTGTGTGTTTCTCATTTTCATTATGAAATTCATTTTTTATTCCATTCTTTCCCTTAATGAAATCCCCACTTTTGCCAATATCATCATCTTTGGTATGGCCCTAAATATGATCCTGTTAAAATGCAAATTCACTGGTTTAGCCTCATCCACACAATGGAGTATGAGAGCAAATCTGCACAACACAGAATGTGGTCACACTGTGCATTCACATCCAGTGACTCACATTAAACTGATATTATGGTAAAGTAACAGCTCATTCTGCATGGCTGTATCAATACCGTAGGTGGTTTGCTAATTGTGGGAGATTTAAAAAGGGACATTTATCAGATAAGTTGCAAAGCAAGGTAATGCTACATGGGAGATGTGAGACAGATTGCATGGCAGATTAACGTCAAGGTTACAGCTTGATTCATAAATTCCTCCTTCAGCTGCCCTAAGGTAGCACCTCCATAAAATGAAGCCTGGCCCTGACCACTACTTAATTGTGAGTCTGTTTAAAATGAAAATCGATCTCATCTTTAGTGTTAAAGCGGAGTTCCACCCAAAAGTGGAAGCTCTGCTTGTTTGCCTCCTCCCCCCTCCACTGCCATATTTAGCACCTGTTTTGACAGGTACCCGCACCCACTTCCGGCTCAGTTCCCCCCTGTGAAGTGAGCAGGTAGTTCGGCCCCTTCCTTCCTCCCGCAATCTCCTGGGAACCTTCACAGGTCCCAGAAGACTGCCGGACCAATTAGAATGCGCAGCGTGACTCGCACATGCGCAGTGGGCACCCGGCTGTGAAGCTGCAAGCTGTCACAGCTTGGTGCCCACAGTTGAGATGCTGTTGCCATGGAGAGAAGAAGGAGCGAAGGGATGGCACAGGTAATCACGTCGCTGGACCCTGGGACAGGTAAGTGAGTGTTTATTAAAAGTCAGCAGCTACAGTTATTGTAGCTGCTGACTTTTAATAAACACAAAAACGGCTGGAACTCCGCTTTAAATCTGTTCCTGAACTTTGCAAACCTGAATCAGTTGGCTGCCCAGAATTCCATGTACAGGCGTGACATGTACACATGAAAACTGTGGCATATATTTAGGCAACTGAGAGGCAACCTGTCTTAATGTGTTGGTAATTTTCTTGATAAACATTCCCCTGAGAATGTTCATATGAAATATGTACAATCTGTTTGACATGCCTAACACTTCACTAACTGTGCTGTATTTCTACACATCATGTAAGTCTGTAAATCTTCCCACTGTCTTGTTGCCTGGAGCTGTTCAGCAATTTGAAAGTTGTCACTTTATAGAGATGGGGTTAGGACAAGCTATAACACTGGCAGGGATGCTTTAGCAAGTAAGGCAATCGTTTTTATTAGTTTTCAAAGGAACAATTTACAATATGGGAAAAAATGACAATTGAAAGCACCCCCTGTAGTGTTATAGCTTGCAGCAACCTCTGTAACTGTCACTTTTGCTGGACAGGTTGGTCTGCATTGTAAATGTCCAAAAAAGTTATAAATGAAAAAAAAAATAATATGCTTTGTACTATCAGATTCATCACATATAAAAAGCTGTGAAGAGTTATCAGAATACATTTTTTTTTATGATAGTGGTTTAGTTGCTGTAATGTTTTATTCATTTTTTACACTCCTTCCCAACATCTGTCTCATACATTTTCTTGTCTTTGCACCTTCATGCAGAGTTTACATCTAACACCAACCATCCCTTTTTCCCTCTCATAATACAAAACATTTTCACTGTATGAACTGTACAGCCAAGTACGGTAACCGACCCAATGCAACTCAAAGGATGTTTGGATTGTTTAAATATTAACATATTTCTCATCAGCTGCCAATGAAAGCTTCACTGGGTTTTCTATAATTTAAAATGAGTGCTAACAAAGGAACATCTGCTGTTTCTATTGTGAGGCTGGTGCTTGATGATGCCTGGGGGCAGACGACAGCCCGTATACGTACCACGCCAGCTTCAGGATTTCGTTTTCTTCCATTGCTGAATGTGGAGGCTAAAGTGGAAGAGCAGCTTTCATCATATAGCGCAGTCCGACCATCATTAATAGCAGAGTTTATGGAGATGGTCCACATGCTGGATGCATAACCATCGCAGTTACAGTCATCGTAACTTCCTCCATCTCCAGATGCCCAGACATAGATACTTCCTTTTCCACCACGACCCTGTTGCATAAAATTAGCATGTTCAAGCATAAGTTACCTCTGCAACTTAAAATGATGTTGGAAAAACATACATGCAGCACATGCTTAATAATTTTAATGCAAATGTATGTTCAATGTTTTTCGTCAGGGCATTCTATAAAAACACATCTCCCCAAATTTTACCCTTAGAAAATACTGCAAGTACCTGTGCTCCTAAAATATGCTGCACTGGAATTTCATACAATTTTTTTTCAGGCCAACCTTCTGGACTAAAGAACTCAGGCATATCCTCAAACCTATCCCTATCCCATCATATGCATATGCTGATTTCTTTTCCCAACAAAACAATACTGCTGCCTTGGATCCCAAGAGCCTGCCCACATACTTTGTAGGAAAAGGGATCTTGGGATATATAGTTCTTGGGGTATGCCTCTGTCAACAGGAACTAAGCTCTCAGCAGTTGTTATTGCAATAATTTTGCAAGACTGAAGATGCTGTTACAGGGAATAGTTAAAGCTGTTTCTTGCTACAATAACAAGCAAGAAATAATGCAGGGACATGTGACATGTAAAGAGGGGAGAGGGAGGTTTGGGTTTAAATTTGAATAATGTGTGGACATACACTTTAAGAAGAGTTTGCAATGACTAGACTCATTCAAGTGTATCACCCTCCTAGAAGAACCTCCTGCAAGCTGGGACTCTAATTTATTTCTAATGTCTTCCATATTTTTCTACATGTTTTACGTACTATGTGGAATGCTGCATACATTTTTGTTAAATTATTTCCCCTTTTCCCTACCTTTGTTGCTATGGGATACTCCACTCTTAGTATTTGGAGTTTTTGTTCAACCAGATCCATGAGGATAAGGCATATTTTTGTTAAGAGGGGGTGTATGTAGCACCCTCCTAGAATAAAATTCTAGAGAGGTTCAGGTAAATTTACTTTTTTTGGCTTCTTTTAAGAGGAGGTTTGCAGACCTCTGAAGAATTTGATTTGACGAAACATGTTAGGGTCTGATTTTACGGCAACTGGAAGCAACATCAGGCCCCCTCGGAAGTGACCCGGTAATGGACTGGGTGAGACACTGATCACTTGGCTGAGGAATGGGGCTATACCTGACAGTTCACATTTGTGGTTTTGATGGGCATTGATATTTGGATGTTTGTGAGCAGATTTTTACCTGGGGAGTGAATAAAGCTATTGGTCATACAGTTTTACACTGTTAGTGGCTTTCTTTTTTTGTTATGTTGCCTGAGTGACTCCTTAAAGGAGAAAAGAAGTGCATATATGTGATCTGTTACAAGGGGTGGAATCCATGCATCCCACATGCGTTATTGCCATCAGTAAAATGAAGGCATTGTGAGTTGGTGAGTTTCCTAAATGTTAGGGAATAGATTGAATGCATCTCATTAAGTGGAGTGATATATATCTGATGGATCTTCAATTTGTTTGGAACTAATTTTTATCGAGTTCATATAGCACGTTTGACACCATAGCACTGGTGGAGTGGACTGCACTTTATATTTATATGTGGATTGTTTTATTCATTTGTATTTATGTATATTGTTTTATTTGAGTGGATTCATTGTATTGATAGGTTGTTTGGAGTGCTTTTATGCATATGGATTGTCCTACAGCAATTGTTGATCAACAAGATAACTAACATTTTCAGGGGAGGTTATCCTCAAGAATTTTAAGGTGCGGAGCTTCAATATGCTAGCAAGTAAAATACATAACAATAAATAAATAAAAATAAAAAACATACAAATGTAACACACACAAACACACAACATGAATGCAATTAAGACACGTACTGTATATGTACAAGGTCTATTTACAATTTTTAATATCTTCATTTTGCTATTAGTCTTCAGTATCCTCTTTTTTTAATTTAATATACATTTTGGTGGCTATATTGCGTTTGTAAGGACAAAAATGATAAACTAAAAATATAGATTACATCAACATTTTTGCAAACATCATGGGAGGTACACAATTTGGAATATTGCTGGATTTCTAGATCATAATGTGCATTATGGAGTGTGTATATAAAATTTGGGGCTGGTAGTGAAAACTTTAAAGTGTATGAATTTGGTGTATTATTATTAGTACTAATTAATAATAATCATACGATATTGAGGTGCCCTGGTAAACCTCTGGCATCACAAACCAAAGGCTCATGTTGGTGTCATTGGACATTATTAGTTTGGAAAGGAACGTTACTAGAACATTAATTAGAAATCAACCACCTCCTATCCTACTATGATTACCCTATAACACAAACAACACCTTCCCCTGAAGGTGTACCAAACTATAATATGACAGTGTTATTAACAAATATTCCAAAGCAAATTATAATCATATAGATACCCATTTATTGTAAAATAAATCCACTACCAATATAAAGTCCACTATGATTTTTATGTAAATACGCAAAATGTCCCATCAATAACTCCAACGGTGTTCAAAATTAGTCCACCTCAAAAAAAGAAAACTCATATAGTGCATTAACCTTTATCAGATAAACTTTATCTATAATTATAAGTAAAAGTTGTGAAAAACGTGAACCACACGTGATCAGTGAAAACCCACTTCAATGTGCATAACACTATTTCTGTGCCTCTCACAGAAAACTCCAAAATAAAAGGGTGTATCGTACTTCTAAATGCAGTGAGGATACCCTTACCAACTTCCCAATTAATGGGCTTTGGAGTATCCAGGATATTCACAGGCTGATCCACTCAGGAACCTCTGCTGTATCACGCAGCCACCACTCTCTGGATTCCTTAGGACACTTTGCTCCAGTGTCACCACAAAAAAAACAGGATGACATAGTGTGATACCGCCCAATAAAATAAAGTAACATACACTTTATTAAAAACTGCTCACATTGCCAAAGCTTTTTAACTTTAGAGGGAGTACACGAAGGTATAGGAAATCTCACGGTCATCCAGGGGAGACACGTCCGTTGTTCCTGCTCGATCTCTCCCTTATCAGAAATGGCCGCCAGGTAACTTCCGGTTTCCGGGGAAAAACGTCTCGACGTCACTCCACTTGACGCGTTTCGTCATCGACTTAGTCATGAAGGGGTGTCGATGACGAAACGCGTCAAGGTGGGGAGTGACGTCGAGACGTTTTTTTCCGGAACAACCGGAAGTTACTGGCGGCCATTTCTGATAAGGGATGGAGAGTCGAGCAGAGCAACGGGACGTGTCTCCTGGTGACGTGAGATTCCTATACCTTCTGTACATCCCTCTAATGCGGTTAACAAGCTTTGGCCATGTGAGCCGTTTTAATAAAGTGTTTGTTACTTATTTTATTGGCGGTATATCAAATGTATGTTGTGTTTTTTTTTGGTTGGTGACACTGGGAGCAAAGTGTCTAAGGAATCCAGGAGAGTGGAGTGGCTGCGTGATACAGCAGAGGTTCCCTCAATAATTTAAGTGCGTGGATCAGCTGTGAATTTCCTGGATTGATCTCCAAAGCCCATTATATTGGGAAGTTGGTAATGGGTATCCTCATGCTTTTAGAATATACACCCCTTTTATTTTTGCGAGTTTTTTACTGTGATGTGGCACTGAAATAGTGTTATGCACATTGAAGTGGGTTTTCACTGATCACGTGTGGTTCACGTTTTTCACATACTTTTACTTATTTTCACTGGTAGGAAATATAGATAAAAGTTTATCTGATAAAGGTTAATGCACTATATGAGTTTTCAATTTTTATTGAGGTGGACTAGTTTTGAACACCGTTGGAGTTATTGTGGGAATTTTGCGTTATTTACACTAAAAATTTAGTGGACTTTATATTGGTCATTTATTTTACTATAATTGGGTATCTATATGATATATAAGGTTGCTTTGGAATTTTGTTAATAAGAACACTGTTCAGTATTATAGTTACTAGAACATTGCTACGTTATAAAATAGCGAAAAGTATGCGTCAGTTTGAAGAGAATGTTTTTCATTAAACGTGTTTCTTTCTGCTGAGTAAATCAAGAATGTTTCTTTTGAACTGACCTCAAACACTGCGTCAGCATCTACAGTATATGAAGGAACAAGGATATTTTCAGCTGACATTGACCCAAATATGTCAATACAAGATATTTCAAGAAGGCACAATGGTTTCATTTTTGCATGGTAGAAAAACTCCCATGAATGTATTCAACTGAATACCAAGCATGAAGGGAAGAATACTGTATCTGCTAACTGACCAAATAATAAATGCTATGGTGTGCACCTATCATGAGTTAAGGTGAGCCTAATGTGAAGGTCACTTCACAGGCAAAGCTGCTCATGGAAATTGCTTCTGCTTGTCATCTCAGAAGAACTTTTGCTCTGTTAGGTAAAACCAGTGGTGTATTTTGTTTTTGTGTTACCCTAGGCAGACTAAAATCGCCCCCACTACACACACACACACAATCTAAAAAGAAGAGAGAGGAGAGTGAGAAGAGAGAGAGGAGAGAAAAGAGAAAGATGTTCCTCTAGCACTTACCTCTAGAATGACAGCAGCTGGCCATTCCCGGGGACATGGTTAGGAAAGCCCAGTGTTGTCCTTGTGTGGGGAATGAGAGTCGGCCTCTACCTACACCCTCCAGCAGCCCGCAGCCTCTCTCAGATCCCATGGCAGAGCTCAGGCAGTGCCTCATCTGGTCCCCATCCTCTATATCCCTTCTTCCAGGGGGGTGGTACCACCTCCCTGAAAAATGCTGTCCAAGGCAAACACCTTGTTTGCCTCATTGTAAATACCCCACTGATGTAACCCATAATGTCTATGCCAAAACTATAAGACTTCTGTACAGGGTGTGAGGAGGAGTTTCCATGTCAGTCTCCTACTGAACCATAGTCAAGTGGCCCTCCCTTATATGTTAATCACTCTCTCAATGCACTCAATGTGCTAATATGGCCCCCTATTTCAGGCTATCACATGAGACTCATGCTTATATGGAAATCCCGTAAATGACACAATCTCTCATATGACACATGCTCACTTGGCACTTTCTCACGCAAGGCACTCTC